ATGAGGACAGACCCAGTTGGTCTGTGGAGTCCTGCGAGGAGACTAGACAGAGCACAGAGCTGGCATCCCGGGTGACCTTGCACGATGACCGCAGCTGTGAGGGAACCGTCTCTTTGAGGGACGGCATGCTGCTAAGCCCTTTACATGCACTTTTGCATCTTATATTCACAGCAGACGTGCAGGGGAGATATTATCTCCATATCACAGATGAGAAAGGTTTAGAGAGATTAAAAAACTTTTCTAAACTCCTAAGTGAGTAGGTAGTTTAACTGACTCAGAAAGTTGGTGATCTTTCTACTGTATCTTGCTGCCCTCCAGATTCCCTTGCTACCAAAGCAGATCCTTCTCATTCCATTTTTGAGGGGGATCCTCTTTCACCTCTGGCTGGGGCTATGACTGCTGTTTCACAGGGGGACCATATGATCCTTATTTTCCAAGATCCCAGTTCACTGGAGGAAAAAGAGCTACAAAGTGGAGGGCAGTGGGTGGAGGGAACTCCCTAGTCCAGGAACCCAGCCAACCCTTGCCAAGAGTGGAGGGTGGGTGTCTTCCACCTTCACCCCCAGCTCAAAGCCAAATGCAGGGGCTGGTTCCTCCCAGGTGAATCACTGCTGTACATACAAGCCACCCACTTAAAGATTGACACTGAGAGCAGAGTCGGCCCTCTGAGAGAAGGGGAACCAGAAACCCCTGGAAAGGGAAATTGGGAGTGGGTAGAAAGGGTCTGAAAAGTAATGGTTACCACAGCTGTCTCGAACTTTCCCTTTTCTAGTTGTGCCTTTCTCATAGGGAGCCTTTGTTTAAATTTCAGTCTGTACTGAACTTCTTAAAGGATTTGGCCCAGTTCAGGCCCTTGACTGTAAACAGCCCCTTCCATATGGCTCTCCCCTCCTGGAGAGGCCTGTGGGGAAGAAGAGATCTATGCATTTGCCCAACCTTATCCACCCCCAGCTAGGCTTAGGATGTACTGTTTCATTTTCAGGTGAATGTTGAACATCTGGTGCAAAAGATGAAAACAACTGTGAAAAGGGGCTTGGTGTTAAGGTACCTCATCCATGATTTGTTCCTAAGTAAAGAGAGAAAGTAGTCAGGCTTGGCCCTAGCCCACAGAATGGGTCCATGCTTGGGACACCCTGAGGAATCTGTGGATACAGAGGGAGAGAACCTGAACCAGGGGAGGAGATAGAAAAGGGAAGAACAAAACCTACAAAGGGAGAGAGGGAGTGGAGGGATGGGGAGGCAACCGAAGTCACAGGCTTTTGGTTTCCATCTGGCAGGAATGAGAAGTGCAATGAGAACTATAGCACTGACTTCATTTTCAACCTGTACTCTGAGGAGGGGAAGGGCATCTTCGACAGCAGGAAGAATGTGCTTGGCCACATGCAGCAGGTAGGGAAGACACCCCAGTCATGGCCTTCACCAGGCAGCCACAACCCCCAATAGCTATTGGGGTTCCCACTGGCCTCTGATCTGCTGGAGGCTCTCAGTGCCACCATAGAGCATGGGCCTGCAATCCTCTACAGTCATAGAATCAAAACATCTTTGTCCTGGAAATGGCCTTAGAGATTATGTGGTCCATCCTCTTCATTTAGGGCAAGGTTTCTCAACCTTGGCATTATTGCCATTTTGGGCTGGATAATTCTTTTGTTGTGGGTGGCTGTTCCGTGCGTTGTAGGATGGTTTAGCAGCATCCTTGGACTCTACCTCCTAGATGCCAGTAGCACCTTCCTCCCAAGTTATACAACTAAACAATGTCTCCAGATATTGCCTAATATCCCCTGGGGGGAGGGAGAGTAAAATTGTCTCCAGTTGAGAACCACTGATTCAGATGAAGAAAATGAGGCCCAGAGAGGAGAAATAATTTTTTCAGGGACACTCATCTAGCTTGGGTGACAATTAGAATGAGCTTGTCCAGTGCTCTTCCCACCACACCTTGCATGCTGCCTTCTATGAGGAACCTGTGGAACAAGTGCACGCACCTTGCTGGTGTTAGGCTCCATCTCCACTAACTGGGATTTCAAGGGCAAAGGAATTCCTTTCTACCACCCACATTCAATCTTCCCCCAAGGGAGGCCTCACTCACAGATGGTACTAGTGATCTGAGGCCTCTCCCCTTCCAGATGTCTCCAGCTGATGCCTCTTAGGCACTGATGACCTTTGGCCTCTCTCTCCCCATAGATCAATTCCCAATATCTCAGTTTGTATGAGCTTATCAGCCCCTGCAGGAATGGGGTGCTACTGGATAATGTATGAAGACCTATTTCCTGTTTGTCCTTCCTTTCCACTTTCCCACTTACTTTGCCTTAGTTCAGAGAAAATTCCGCATGATGTTTTGTATTATTCTAAGGTGCTAGCAAGGGCATCCAGACTGGGTCACAAGGAACAGTTCCATGTCATCGCTGATGGTGACCAACAAAAGCTGCTAGGCTGAAGAAGGGCAGGGAATTGACTGAGTGGCCAACAAAACCAGAAGTAAAATGAACAGGATCTGGCAACTATGGAGCTAGAAGAGGCAATTGTGAGACCAGCCATCCCCTTTAACTAACTAGTTACTCTCATACCTGGTAAATGGCCAAATACGCTGGGCCAGCTCGCCCTGGTTCCCAGCCCTGCTTTAGGATTTCCTTTCATAGTTAGACTTCTGGATTCCCGTTTCTGGCTATAAGCCAGGGGCCCATTCTTTCCTTTTTCTCTGTGTATTCAGGTATCTCTGCCACTTCATTAGAATCCTTCCCTCTGTAATTTTTATGATTCTTTTTCCAGGGTGGGAGCCCAACTCCATTTGATAGGAATTTTGCCACTAAGATGGGTGCCAAGGCTATGAACTGGATGTCTGGGAAAATCAAAGAGAGTTACCGTAATGGTAGGTGGGAGAAGAGGGTGAGCCCCCTCCACAGGGCCTGGTTCCCCAGTATAGAAGCTGACTGACCATCCCTTATTGCAGGGCGGATCTTTGCCAATACCCCAGACTCAGGCTGTGTTCTGGGGATGCGTAAGAGGGCCCTGGTCTTTCAACCAGTGACTGAGCTGAAGGAACAGACGGATTTCGAGTGAGTACATCCCCTTTCTGGAGTGGTTCCCTCCCTGGCTGTTTCAAGATCTACTCTTCCCAGCCTGTGCAGTGTCGTCAATCTTTCTCTCTTAGGAGTAACACCTGTAGGCATACCTACTTCAGATCTGATGCCAGTGCCCTAAATGTAGCCTCTTCTGCTCAACCTCTTCCCATAAGCCTTTGATAGAAGTTGGCTGGGGTGCTGAAAGATTAAACCATTTCTTCCTCATTCCTCTGTAGGCACCGCATCCCCAAGGAACAGTGGTGGCTGAAGCTGAGGCCCATCCTCAAGATCCTAGCCAAGTATGAGATTGACCTGGATACATCAGAGCACGCCCACCTGGAGCACATCAGTCGGAAGCGGTCTGGAGAAGCTCCTGCCTAAACCTCTGGAGTGAGAGGAACGGATTGTCTGATCATGGTCAGCTCACCCCCTGGTAGATCCAAGTCCACGTATTCTCAAGTGTTTAGCTCATTTTTCATTAGGTTTCCTTTTATTCTGTAATTGCAGCCATGATCAGCTCTGCCCAGGGAGCTAGGGCAGGGGGCAGTGAGTGGAAGCTCCTTTTAGGTAGAATTTATCAAGACTTCTACCCCAGTTTCCTCCATCACACAAGGCTGAGCTCCTCTAGTGCCACTGCTAGATTTCAGTTACTCGGTTAGAATTTTCCTAAAAATAAGCTTTATTTATTTCTTTGTGATAACAAAGTCTTGGTTCCTCTAGTACTTTTACTACAGTGACAGACAATAACTACACTAATAAATGCCAACTGGTCACTGTGCTTTTGGTTCTCCTGTTATCATCTTCACAAGTGGAATCTAACACTTTCAGCCCCAAGCCCCAGACTCTGCCCTGACACACCTGGGAAATGCAGCCCACGTGAGCACCCCATGTACTTCTCTCTACCTCTTAGATTATTTTTCTGCAGCATCACTTGACCTGGCACACAGGGTCCTAGAACACAATACACAGTCCTTACCCTCCTCCCACACTACTCTCTCCTGCTTCCTCTGCCACCAACAGGATGCTCCAGTATCCCTTTGGCATAAGGTTGTATTTCACCTCTTGATCGTGTACCCATTACCCAGGGTTGCTTTTTTCCAGTCATCCCACAATCTCTACTCCTCCTCTGACAACCCAGGGTTCTTCCTTCTCAATTTTCCCCCTGTTCTTCCTGGATGAAAGCCAGACTCCGTTTGTGGGGAGATATGTACATTTTGAAAGCCTGGGAAATAGAGACACCTAGTCTGGACTTGGTTTGGTGGGTTGGTTGAAGTACTGCTTTGGGAAGTTGTTAGTTCTTATTCAGCTCAGTTTGTTTTTTCTTCCATAACAATAGCTTCTCCCTCCTCATAGCCAAGTGCCCATGTAAGGCAGTTGGTCTTCAGGATTGGGACTACAGATTATACCCCAAATTGACAGGATGGTGCCCTGTCAATGGCAGGTTTAAGATTAGCCTCCGGTAACCAGATCCTGGCTCCCAACACAGGCATACGTATTCCTCCCCAGCCAGTCTCACTTGCTTGAGGAAGCAGGCGAGGGTCAAGGTTTTACCAGGGGTGGGAGAGGGATTCTCTCTGGTACACCACTTTTGCTGGCTGTCCAAACTATACCCGCTGTGCCCCAAGAACAGTTCTAAATAGTGACTGAGAAGGCTTGTCAGAGTCCAGAATTCAAGCCGCCAAATGCTCTGTGTACATTCTTTAAGGGGAAGGGAAATTAACAATAAATGTCAAGCACTGTTATCACTGAGTCCTCAACAGAGCCTATGAGGGCGGTGGTGCCAACCCCATTTCAGAGCCGAGGACACTGGGGCTCAGGGTGATAAAATGATATGGAGAAAGTAGGAACAGTAGAAAGTGCCAGACTTGCTTTTAGAAGTGTTTATTTCTTTTTTTCTTAAGTGAGCAAAAAACACCAACAGCAAAAGGACAAAAGCAGACATACTTTTTCAAATTAGCTGTGTCAGCAGACTCCGTTCATTTTTATTTGTAGTTCCCAATCAGTTGTAAAAAAAGAAAAGTTTTTCAAATTTGCATACAGGTCATCTAAGATCAGTAATAATTTGATCTAGTTTAGGAACATGAAAAGGAAGAGTATTGTTGACTAAGTATAGTTCACTAAAGTAGATCCTTTCGGGGTAGGTGGGCCATCTCAAAAGCAGCTCTTAGAATGCTCTTGCCCCACTCCCCAAGTCTACCCCCTCCACCAACGCCTTGTATAGATCAGTAAAAAGCAAAGGTTCCAAAACAACAGAAAGAAAAATAACTCCAAATTCTTAGCAGAGCTTCCTGTGGAGAATGAAGACCACAGGAAAAGGCAGGCCAGCCCCTCTCCTCCCCTAGAGCAGATTGCTCTGCCTGTGGTTCCGGAAATGCCGGCGAAGCCATTAGGGCAAACTGGCTTTCAGGAAGAGAGAGAACTGCGCTAGAAGAAAAGTTCTTAGGACTGCTCAGAACCTGCTGTCACTTCTACTGTGTGGAAAGCAGCAAGACAATCTTTCTGAAATGAACTTGCTGAACTGTAACCCTTGGGCACACCCGTGGAAAAGAGGCAAAGGCTGCTGGATGGCGAGAAGGGGAGCCAGTCTCTTCCGAACGCCCCCTGATGTGGCCCTCTAGGGCTGTCATCCAGCCCAGTTCTGAATCTGCACACCATTTGACGTTGTAGTATCTTCATCTTTGGGCTGAAATTGTTAGCTGAAATTTTCTTAAACTTCTTCACAGATCAACTAAAATGCTTCTAGAAGGATTCTTCTGAACATTAATCATGTCCCCAAAGGAAAACCAAACACACCTTCTAAATACTCTCCATCTCCCTAGAGAAATTCAGTTGCACTGTTGACTTTTTCCCTAAAGGGGTTGGTGGGGGAGACCTCTTCTTTTGCAGAGTACAATATAAAAAGCCATGAAAGCAATAAACAGAAAACAAAAGTGGGGGATTTTGTTGTTGTTTGGTTGTTGGTTTGGGGAGGGGAGGTGATGTAGATGTTACTGTTGGGACACGTTGCCTTGAAATAGAAACCGCACAACAGGAACAACAGCTTTTCCTGTTTTCAGGACAGACAGACAGTACTACAGGCAAAAGCCTCACCCAGAGTTCTCTACGTGGATGATGCAAATATCTCCTCCAGCCTATTCTACGAGTAACAGGTACTCCTTCAGAGAAGCTGGCAGTGGAAGGCCCTTCACCGCATCTGGCAGATACTGAAGTCCCAGGCTACGGCGCACAGCGTAGCGCGAGAGAGTTTTTAGTGTTCCTGGGGCTGAGCACAGAACAGTCAGTTTTTCACATAGCTGCTGGTCTTTGGCCACTTCTCGTGGCATGGTGCCATTTTTCCTTAATTCAAAGTGTCCAACCGCTCTGTGGAGGAGCTCAAAGCAAGAGTCCTCTTTCTCAGTTCCAAGTCCCCTGACTAGCAGAGCCACCAGGCGGGAGATAGGTGTCTGGCCTTTTAGGTTGATGACTCTGACCTCTGCCCCATAATCAAGAAGGATGCTGACGCTCTCAAGATTTCCCTTCATGGCAGCCCAGCTGAGCGGGGTATCATTGTTGTAATCCAGGGCATTGACAGAGGCCCCACTCTCTAGGAGGGCCCGCACACACTCAGCATTGTTCTTAAAGGCTGCCCAGTGGAGTGGAGTGTCTCGGTTGCCATCCAGTGCATTGGGGTTTGCACCATACTCCAACAGAACCTCCACACAAGCCTCATCTTTCTCAGCTGCATAGTGGAGGGCTGTTCGGTTGTAACCATCTAGGGCATTCACCTGTAAAGAGGGAGGAACTATATTACAATAGATAGACTACTAGGAGGAAGATAGGCAGGCAGAGAAGCTTGCATGTGTTTATCCACTACCTTTGCTGTGTAATTTTCTGAATAAGAGAGTCAACAAGCACTTCCCAGGGAGTCCTGCTGATCAAGAGGGAGATATGACAAGAGCTTAGCAAACAGGAAAGGAACTGTCCCCAAAACAACCAACACTCTTATGTGCCTTGATTAGCTGGCCTACATTATTTAGTTTTTGCTGCTATGTTCTTAGTTACTATTCACTAGAATCTCTACCATGGAGTAAGGGGTAAAGAAAGAGAAGATGAAGACTATGTCTTTGACACTACTCAGACATTTATTGGACAGCAGCTTGAATTTACTAGCCAGAGTAAAGGTTTTGGAATATATTACTTATCCCGACTCACTCTGTATCCTGTGACTAATGGCAACCAGGCTGCAAAATAATGAGGCCAGAGCTCTGCCCATATAGCTTTACTGTGCTCTTTATCCATGTACAGAAGCTCAAATTGTTAATCCAAGCCAGCCCCTAGCAAAAAATATGCCATGGGGTCACAAGACAACCTAGATGGAAGCATGTGGAGGAAAGAGCACAAATCTGCCAATGCTGGAAAAGCAGCTGGCTGCTAAAACTCAACATCACCCATAAGCTTTGAAGACTACAAAAACTTCAAACCCAAATTTATAAGTAGCACATTATCTTCCCCTATAAAATGCAATAAAGAAAACTGATTTAACTGAGTTTAACCTTCTATTTAGCTAAAACTTTTTTCTCCCAGGATATTTTCACTTTCATCATTGATGTTAGTCACTGGCTTTCATCTCAAGGTCACTCACAAAAGTTATGGAATAGATAATGAAAAGTAGAGCATAACACGGCTGTGTGGAGATGAGGATGCTGGGGGCTGGCCCCTTAGGCTTACTGACCAGTGTGTTTGGGGACAGTACATCATCTTCACGGCAAATCTGATTCAAATTAGCACTTCAGTATATGCACCTTCGGGATTGCTCACAAATAGTCCAAACTGCTAATTTATTTAACAAGTACTTACTTAGCAATTACTACATGCTAGTTCTAAACACTTTTACAACCTTATGAAGAAGATAACATATCATCACCATTTTACAGATGGGGAAACTGAGGCAAAGAAAGGTTAGATAATTTGTTCAAGGTCACACAGCTGGAAGTGACAGAGCTGGAATTCAAATCCATGAAGTCTGACACCAGAGTCTATTCTTTTAATCATTTATTGTATTATGCTGCTTCTTGCTAATGCCAACATAAATTAATCTGTTTTTTATGTTAAGATGCTCACATTAGAAAGAAAACAGGAACAAGATATACTAAAACAGAACATAATTCGTGGGTGGAAATGGCACAAATGGCCCAGTCCCGAGGAAGGGATTGCCTAATGATATTTATCTCCCAGGGACAGTGGTATTAGAAGTGCTCGTCTCATGGCAGGTCTCAAATGGTTTACATTTAATCAGAGTCGAGGGGCCTCTGCACTTACAGCTCCTGGACAGTCCAGTGGGCAATGAGAGGATTAAATGGAAATATAAACAACCCCAGAAGGAAGGCTGGGAGAGAAAGGGGAGATAAAATTCCCTCTTCCCGGAGCCATGAACAGCATAAGAAAGAAAGGCGAAGTAATGAAATCCTGAGGATCACTTCTTCTTATATTTATCGTTATATTTGGCTTTAATATTGGCTGTGCTGATGTTACCATGAGCCAGAAAGTGGGAAGAGATGGGAGAAGAGACAAGAAATTTTAAGAATATGTGAAGCTCAGGTTTTAGTAAATCATTACTGTGACAGTGTTAAAAACATTACCTCGGCTCCTTTTTCCAGGAGTAACTCCACACAGTCAGCATCTGACACCATGCAGGCACAGTGCAGGGGCTTCAGTGTGCCGTGGGTGCAGTTCACATCTGCTCCCTATGGGCAGAGGAGACTTCAATCAGTGTGCTCAGCATTGGCTCACCAAGCAGGATGAGACTAAGCACTGAGTCCAGGAGGAAGGAGGGTTCTAACTCTGACCGTACTGTAAACATACCACTGGTCCCAGTTTCTATTCCTGTTACAGTCATGCGCCACATAACGACATTTCAGTCAACGACAGACTGTATATACAACAGTGGTCCCATAACCACCATGGTCCCGTAAGATTGGTACCATGTAGTCTACATGTGTGGTAGGCTACACCATCTAGGTTTGTAATTGCCTAATAATGCATTTCTCAGAACATATCCCCATCATTAAGCAATGCATGACTGTAATTAAATATTATAATGCTAATATCCAAACCAGGAGAATACACTGAAGATGAATGAAAGGAACTGTCAATTCCTTAGATCAAGTTATTAAGTTTCTTCACAAGGTAGCTATTAAGTTTCTCCACAAGGTAGCCTGCCAGATGATCATTTGGACATCACTGAGGACATAACCTTATGGTAAAAGTAGTCAGAACCTTATCATCAGGCAGGAAAGCTGGAAAAGCAATCCAATTTCTATGGCCACCAGTTTCTGAAAAAGTCAGGAAAGTGAGTCTGTCAGACTGAAGCCAGGAGAACTGGCATGCTCTTTCTGCTGTTCAACAGATGACCATCACTAATAGTAAGGTCGTCATAACCAGATCTTTTTGTTTACAAATATCTTCAAAGTAGCCTCTTAGTATGAGCATTCTCTGCCACCTAGCCCCTGCTGGTACTTCTATTTCAAATATGATAAAGGAGATGGAGATACTCCAGTCAGACCAAAGTCACTAGATGACTCAGCAGCAGAGCTAGAATTAGAACGTGACAGAGTTTCTACTGCCGAGTCTTCTGATCCCACTTCTGCTGAGAACAAGCTGATGCTGTATGACTTTCTTCTCACAGCTGTGCCACACAACTCTGAAGCAGCTACAGAGCTCCAGGTTATAAATAAGGATTCTAAAGTTGTTAAAAAAAATGTACAGAAGTAACCATCTGGATGCATTTTCTAGTGATCAAAAAATTACCCTGTAACTTCTCTTCAACAGGAATAATATACAGAAAAAGGTATCAAAGACCTTCTAGGATACTAGTCATGTAACAGAATTAATGAATAGCCATGGTTAGACAGCAAATAGTTAAGATGTTTTCTTAAAAGTTACCATGCATCTTAGGGGTTGATATTCTCTAGAGAACTAGAAGTGGCAGCTGTTGTTAAGATAGAAGGCAAGTGATATCTCTCCACGTAATTATTGTAAACCACAAAGATCTGAAAACCACTTCTGCTTTGCTCGCCTCCCTCCTCCCTTTGCACTGCACGTGTAGAAGACTGAGCTTGCTGGATCCCATAAGCACCATAGCCAAACGGAGATTTTACAAAGAACAGGAGACCAGGGTTATCTAGTACATATTTCCCGAAGAAAATATCAGATGCACAAAGCAAAAGGGAGAAGGGAGGAGAAGCAAAACATAGGGAAAATATATTTTAATGGTCAAGTTAATACATTTAGGAAGACTGTACAACTCCTTGTGATCTTGTGCTGAGTCAAAACTGCAAATCTGTAATCTACTAGGATTCCCCAGGAACCTTCCCACTTCACCTCCCAAAGGACTCTCGTGTCAATAACAACACACTCACCCCTCTGATGAGGTCCTCTACATTATCATGTGGGAAGGACCGAATGGCAGCGATTGTTCGGATCAAGCGCTCTGAGAGAGAGTATTTGCTCTGAATACTCTGCATAATATACCACATACTGGAACTCATCAAGGCTCAGATTATGTTCACATGCTCCAAACTGCCTGAAACGAAGAAGTTTTAGGCATTCACAATATCACTGAGCATACCTGTCCTTAGAGTTAGGAGTTCTCTGAGGCCTTCCCAATACTAAAAGCAGATTTCAAAGAGATCGATGATTAACGAATATCATTTTTTCTTAATCATAAGGAGATAGATTATAATAGTTGCTTGGGAGCTGGGTAAACCTGGACATAAATGCTCTGACTCTCAGAATCGCAGTTCTGTTCTCTGAGCCGATCTAGCATAAGCTTTCCCCAAGAGGCCCAAAGATCCCCATGGAGCTGTGTAGTGTAAAAATAAAACCTGGCAAGGAAGGGGAGTGTTTAAAGGCTGAAGATGCCACGAGATGCTCTTTTCCTCCTCTGAATTTTGTGGTCTTTATTATCAGCACCACCTTTAGTTACATTTGGCCTTGCACTGTAGTTATGTTCATATTGTTTTCCGTTTAAATTGTAATCAATCGAAAGTCAAGGCCCTTGTCTTCTACTTTTTTGCCCATGTAAGTCCAGCCACAGAGTCTCACAAAAAGAGGTATTTAATAAATATTGGTTGATTGACGGATGGAAGGGTATGGAAGTGATTGTTACCTGTGAGAAGAGAGGGAAAAGCTATGGAACAAATACATCTATGTTAATAATGATAAGGCAACTGTGAATTAGTTTTAAATGTCTTCAGCAAAGAAAAAAATGGGAAATATTTGAGGTAATAGTCTAAAATAAGGAAGGAATGCAAAAGTATAATTACTCTGGAGTGACTATATAAAATTAGAAAAAAAAATTCAAAGTTCACAACAATGACACATGGTTGCAGTTGTAGGAAAACAAGCAGATTTAAGAGTGCAAAATGAATTAAAAATTTCAATAACTGGCCATTTGTGACAACTGAGAAACGGATTTGGGCAAATATATGTTGAAACTACAACATGACAGTTCTAGGATAGAAGAAAATAATGCAGTACACTTAAATTCAACTCTGGTAAAAGATTTGACTGTATAAGAGCAATACACCAGTTGGGGAACATTTAAAATTACAGCAAACCAGGTGGAGCATTTCTATGAAAAACCTTTATCAAAAACTTCAGAGAAGGGGCTGGCCCGATGACGCAGTGGTTAAGTTTGAATGTTCCGCTTCTCTGCAGCCCGGGGTTCGTGAGTTCGGATCCCGGGTGCGGACATGGCACCGCTTGGCAAAAGCCATGCTGTAGTAGCTGTCCCACATAGAAAGTAGAGGAAGATGGGCACGGATGTTAGCTCAGGGCCAGTCTTCCTCAGCAAAAAGAGGAGGATTGGCAGTAGTTAGCGCAGGGCTAATCTTCCTTAAAAAAAAAAAAAAAACTTTAGAGAAAATATAGTATGCAGTATCAGCTCTCTAGACGTAAGTGTTAAGGAATCTGTGTTCTTATTAAACTATAAGCTCCTTGGGGGTAAATACACTGTTATTTTCAATAGTGCCTGGCACATGGCAGGTTAAGTGTTAAGGAATCTGTGTTCTTATTAAACTATAAGCTCCTTGGGGGTAAATACACTGTTATTTTCAATAGTGCCTGGCACATGGCAGGTTCTCAATAAATATCTGTTGAACCAATGGAAAGCTTATTACTTTAGATCCTAAAAAATTCAAGACTTGCAGTAATTAAGCCTGTTATGCATATGATGATTACTAGGGAAAAATCCTAAAATTATTTTGGAGTACCTCCTTATACCTTCTGTAACGTACTATAGACTCTAATAGTTTCTATTTTGCTAATCAGTAGCCATTTATCTGTTTAAAATATATATAGTACTAATTAATAGAAAACAAGTTAAAAATATTCAATTCAGAGGTGTCAATGATTATTGGGTATCCTCCCCTACTTTGCTATGAATGAATAAGCTTATACATTTGTTTATATGTCTCTTTGAAATTTTCGAGATAGCTTAGACTTGGCATATGTTTTAATCTCTCCAACAGCCACTAAACTCCTCAGAGACAAGGGTCTGTATCTTATACTTCTTTATTGCAAGGAAGAAGGAAAAAAAGGCAGAGGTGCATTTGAGTCAGCGATTCCAAGAATGGGGGCAGAAGGCAGAGCATCTAAAGTGGAAGGCTTAGACCAAAGTGGTGCTGTTCACCGTTTCGGGGCCACGGTAATCTGAAGAAACTAAACCCTGCAATCATGTTCGGGGCGCCTTGGACTCCAGGCTAAGCCTCCTAAGTCAGAATATGACCACTGGTCCTCTGCTGCTGCCTCGAAGATCCCAGTGAAGAGTGAAACTTCGGAGCACCATGACAACACTCACTGTCAGCAAGGGTCAAGGAAATCTAAACTGGACCTATCTCTGGACAGTAGCCCGTGCACGCTTTGACCCCAAGTGGCCCCTTTCGTATGCTAGAGCTGAAAGCCCTCTCTCTCCCGTTTTCTTTCACTTCGATCCAGAGAAAACACCAAGGGGTTTTAACTGCGAAGCTAGAAGCAAAGTGGGAGAGAGACGACATTCAACAGCTCTCGTGCTAGTGCGGCCCCGGCTCCCGCCCGGCCGGGGAGACCCTCGGCCCAGCCAGCGGCGCCCCCAATCCCACCGCACCTGCTGGGGGAGGGCTCGCGGCAGCTTCGTCTCGCCGAGGCTAAGGGGCGAGGGCAAGGGCACTAAATGCGAAAAGTGGTGTCACTTTCCACATGGGCGCGCCAAAGATCGCAGCAATCCCGGCAGGTCTCCTGGGGCCAGTACTGAAAAGGGGTCGCGCAATCTGCGCCAGGGGAGCCCCAGAAGAGGACCAACCCCCGCCCCGATCTCCCAAGGCCGGGAACGATGTCTCCGCCTCGAGGGCTCGCGGACCCGAGCGGGGAGTGGAGGAAGCGTTACTGGGCGAGGTGCCCGGGTTAGGGAACCTGGCTGCAGCTATTCCCCCAGCGGGCCGCACTCACCGAACCGCGGGGCTGAGCTGGCTCTTGAAAGCCGCTGTCAAGGCGTGACCCGGAAGCAGAAGTTGTCCCCAGCAGGGCCCTCTGTTTACAGGATGCAAAGCACGACTAGGAAGGGCGCCTGCGCACCGACCAGTGTCCGTAGGCGGGACGCGACTGCGCAGACTCCTGAAGCAGCCTCCAGCCTACCTAGGCCCAGTTAACGCGATGCTTTCTCGCCTCGTCCACAGGCTTTGCGCGCAGGCGAGATGTGTCCCTCTCGGCCGCAGCCCTGGGGTCGGATCGGCTGAAGTGGACGAAAACCTCACCGGCCGGGCTGTTGGACCGACTCTGTGGGGCTGCGCCTGGAGGACCAGGCCTGCATGGGGCCATGCGTGCCCTGCGCTGCCTCCCACTGTCTCCATCAGAGATCTGCCTGGGCACCTCATTCTCAGATTATTCCCACCCTCGCTACACTGGTTCAGTTGTATAGGAGACTAAACTGTTAGTTAGAGGTGTCTTTGGCAAATAAAAGAGACTTCCAGCATTATTCATAATATTGGAAGGCATCGATGCTTCTCGGAACCCTCCTGGATATTGTCCGCCCTCCCTCAAAGGGAACTATACCAAAGAAAGATAACCACCCAAGAGGTGTACTAGCCCAGATGTTGAGGCCTGAAAAAGACGCACATTGCCGACAGTAACCCCTCCCACCCAGAGAGAAGCTGACACCTCTGAGTGATTTACTTTCCATGCAAACATGCAAACATTTCGAAGCCAGCAGCACACAGTGGTGCATGTAAAGAGTGAAGCAGCGGGCAAAGGCAGACTTCGCTCTGTGATCTACCAGGCAGCCCGTTCAACCAAGAGTGCCCCAGCACCCACTCCTCAAAGCTTGCTCTAAGCAACAAAACCTAACCAGTTTGAGAGTAAAGCAGGGCCCAGGTAGTTCATGTACGTCAGTGAGGGGCTGGATGGTTTACGTCTTGTCTGAGGAGTGAGTTTCGCTGAGTCCCAAACACAAAGGATTTTTGCCATTCGGGAAGGTGTCCTACCTACCTCCAGCAGCTCTGCTATGGTGAGATTGTCCAATTTTTCAAAAGAAGCTAAAGACCAGATTTTTTTAAAAAGTGAATTCTCCCAAATTGCAAATATTGGTAACTTTTTTTTTTTTTTTTAAGAATCATTCTTAAAAGCAGGCAACATTCAACCTGCAAACCATCAATTCCAGACTGGATTAAAGGCTGCTTTGGTCACTGGCAGCTCCGTGGAAGAGGGCCTTAGAAGCAGCCATCTGATTGAGAGAGGGTCTGGGGAGTTGGCTTAAAGCTGTAGCGACATATTAACTACATTATTTTTAATTCATAGATTTACTTGGTGAAGCTTGCAGGAAGCTGAATGAGATTATATGGAGACTAGAGTTCTCCATCTTCAACTACCCAAACTGCTCTAAGGCATTTGATCAAATTCAGTGAATTGAAACAGTTTGCTTCTGTGCCCATTGCTTGTAAACCAGAAATCTGTATCAGGGCCCTAAAGAATATTCAACCTTCAAACACAGGGCCAAGAGATATCTGTGTTGGTGCTTATCCAAGATGGGGAGTTCATTCTGTGAACCTAAGTTCTTCCTGGCCACCAGTAGGGAAGATCATAGGAAAAATCAAGCTGCCCACATGCCTGTCCAGACTTAACATTTCAGCCAGTACCTCTCAAACTCCCATCCTTGTGTGTAGAACTGTATGACTCACATTAATGCCTGATAAATAAATGAAAAGCTATAGGATATATTGGAGTATATGAGGAAGTCATTTGAGTTAAAACTAATTTGGCCTGACCTTGTTTTTCCAAAGGGGCCTAACATGGCCTGTTGAGCATGCATTTTATATCTGCTTTAAATATTTACTATGTCCCAAAGACAAGAACAATGCCTTTAAAGACAAGGATGTAACTTCCCCTACATTGGCATTTCTTTAAGGATAAGCATCTCTCCCGAAAGATTAATTGGTGACCTGCTGTACTCACCTCGTGACCACCCACCTTGTGACCACTGACCTGCTGTGTTCACTGAATTGCCGTGCCAGCAAAGCAATCTCATGACTATTATAAAAGGGATGTTCCAATCATATGTGATATATGCTCTTTGACAGTATATAACCACTTTGTGCTCCTTGCTTCTTTGGAGTGGTCCCTTCCTTTCTGAAAGGACTCTCCTGGGCCATATGGTCCTCAGGGTTGGCTCATAATAAACTCACATCAGTTTTGATTTATAGATTGGTTATGGATCATTTTCGTCAACCTAGCCCAATGGTATATTCTCCCCCAGATGCGCCTGGATTCTACTTGGCTGGGGAATTAATGAGGTGAGAAGCAGAAATGTAATAAATTTCATTCCATGATGCCGTGGGCCCAGGTCTGCTAAGGCTCCCTCTCTCTCGATCCAGTAAGGAGATGCTCTGCTTGGCACCACCCATAGCTTTCTCATAGTGGAGCACAAGCTTCACACCACTGACCTATTGAGGGGTTGGTGACTGCTTCTCTGGCTTTCATCTTATTAAGTCTAGCTCTAGTGGGCCCACCACTCTCTCAGACAATACACTGCACAAAAGAAGGAGGTCGTCACAGCTGGTCATATCAGCAGAAATGGTAGAGTCAAAGGACCCAGCAAATGAAAGTACTGCACCTGAGGGGTGGCATCCATCCCTTCTCTGAGGTTTCATGCCTTGGCAGATCTTGTTCAATGTCATATACCAACCAGGGTGGTAGAAAGAGAAACCAGAGTACAGAAGACCTAAGTTTTTGTTCTGCCTCTGAGAGTGATAGTTATTTCATTCCATTTCTTTGGGAATCAGCTTTATCATTTGTAAACTGACAGCACTGGCTGAAATAATCTCTAAACATCCTTCTATTTCTGTAACTTCAGAATCCACCTAATTCCTAAGCAAAAATTTTTGCTTCCAAAATTTTTAATCCCTAGTCCAAGTAAGAAGGACTTTATGGCTATCATAATACTGCTAGATTAATGGGACCTGTGAAGGCTTCATTATAGGGTGGTAAAGTCCACATAGTTTCTGTTCCATTGTTGCTTCTTCTGATAGGTCGTTTCTAAAGCGGGTAAAGACAGCACTGATTCCCTGCTTCAATTTTTTAATGTTATTTGTATTATAAAAATGTTCACGCAGACCAAAAAACTAGACAGAATAGTGCGATGAACTTCTTATATCCATCACCTATACTTAACACGTTAGCATTTACCCAAATATTTTAATTCTAATTTTTCATTTCTTTGTTGCTCTGTCCAGCTTTAGGGTTTTGAAATAAACTACTCAGACAATATTCACAGTTCTTGCAACTTTCAGGGAAATTTTTTCTGAGAAAGTTTGATTTTACATCCCATAAGTTTTCTAAAAACCTGAACTATCTCATGTTTATGTATCCATTTCTTCCTTCAAAAAAGAAGAATTTTTTTCCCTGCGTTGTCTCATCTCTCAAATTTTCTTGGTTGGTAAATGCTGAGGTATGTAAATTCTGGGAAACTCCCAGCATCTTATAAATATAAGAATAATTAGTGTTCCAAGAAGGGATGAAAGAAGCCATCCATAAAGATTATTTTATAGTGTCTCTGAGAACCCACTGCACAACTAAAGGAGGTTTCAGATTCTTTCATTCATACATCCATCAAACATTTACTGGGCCTGCCTCGCTCCAGGCTCTGTGCTCAGCAGTACAGGGAAGACAGAGATGGAGAGACACAATTCCTTAATATTAAGGTTTGGGACAGATTTGCAGATAGTTGATTTCAATTAAAGATAATTATTTCAGTAAAGTTTTTATGTACTAAGTCAATGTTGAAGAACAGCTCTATTTCATGGTGAGATCAAGAGAGTGTGGAAAGAAAGGGTCTGTGAAGAGGTTTCTTGCGGAGAAATTTGTTTGTGCTGTTCCCACTCTCTTTCCACCCAGAGTGAGAGGCAGTGCTCGTGCTGCATCCTTCTGCTCAAGCCTAAAGAGGGGCTTCTGTGGGACCAGAGAGCTTGGACATTGTTTCCCATAGTTGTAAAACACAGAGAACTGCACTGACTCTTGCCTAGAAATTAAAGAAGGAGGTAGCCACAAAGCAGGGCTGGCTGCACTGGGACTCACCAGCACCCCAAGATTCGGTCAGGGTGATGAATGTGTAAATGTTTCCCTGGACAGATATGGGCCACATAGAGGACGGTCAGCATGGGGTTACCTTTGGTCTATTCAAAAGGGCTGTCTAGAGGTGTGGAGGGACCCAGTGACCAGAAGCTATTGATGAACACAGGAATCCTAGAACCCACAGAGGTTCTCGCAGGCAACCACCGGCATCTGTCTAGGCCAAAGGGACTCAAGTGAGAGGTATCTGATGATGGGAATCTCCAAAGAACCTTTAAAAGAACCCTACAAGAAAAGGAGTCAACTTTAACCATCTGCTAGCCCGGGTAGTGCAAACTCATCCCATCAAAACAGAACTGCCCTATCTCCTTAGCTGTCCTGCCTCCTCCCACTTTTACAGAGCAGATCAAATAGCAGTTAGCTAGTCAGGGAGGAGATAAGTTGAGGAGAAAGCTGAAGGCAAGCAGCCACCAGACACAGGGGGCCTTACGTCGGGGAAGGAGAGAGGGAGAAGTCTCAGACTAGTACCTTAGAATGAAGACCGAAGTATTTGATTACTCTCTTGAACTCAACACATTCCAGTTACAAAATCAAGACTCTTTTTTGACTTCAAGTGACTGTTACTTAAAAGATTGTCAATTATTGAAGAAAAAGTCAGGGAATCTGTCCAATTTTCCATCCAAGGGCAGGGGAAGATTATCTCCTCCCAATAAATGTTTTTAAAAGATGATAAAAGCCGAAAAATAGAGTGGCGTTGTGAGCACATACCATGGCTCTTGCATTCAACATCCCAACTCCATCTCCGTACACTTTGGTTTGTTATTACTGATCTTCATGTTTTGATTACAAGTGATTCCCTGAGTTGTTTTTGATTTTTTAAAATGTGTTTTTTCTTTCCTAAGACTTTTATTTTTCTTCTCTCCTCTGCTAATTCTAGTTCTGCTCTCAAGAAGTGCTCATTAGATGGTGTTGATTGACAGTACAACCAGTGTTCCTATTTTCAGACCTTGGCGCAAACTTGAACTAGAAATTTGATAACGATG